TTGGATTGTTGGCTCGAATCCTTATAGCTTCTGCTATGTGTAAGAGACGAGATCGTACATGTATATAAATATTACTGTATATTACAGTAAAATCTGATGAGGACCTAATAGAAAACAATATTGTTCGCTTATATTTGTTATCTCTTAATAGTTCAAATTATGTTAGAAACTAACTTAATTAGCAATTAGAAAGTTTAAACAAAAAATAATTCTAATATTTGGTGGAGTTTTGTTCTCTGAGCTGGATGATTTGGTCGTGGATCTTTCAACGACATCATCAGCACAAAATTCAGATAGAAGTGAAGTGTTCGAATTTCTAACATTTAACAATGATAGATCTATTATTAATGATGAATTGGTAATAAGGTATATCTTTATTCATTTGGCTCTCAATTACAATATTTTTTCACAATAATTAGTGATACTACTATAGCATTCAAACAGAAGTAGTCGACAAAATATTCTCAGCTACATTGTCATTTTAAATTAATTAGTAAGAAGGCTAGGTGAATGGTAAAGTTTTTTTTCAGAATTCAATATTTTACACAGTGTAAATTCAATTCAAGTGTTTTAGAAAAATTAACGTCTCTTTTCGTAGATAATAAACATTTTGGATTTGTCTGAAACGTTTAAACATTACCTGGTTTGAAATATGAAGTACTGGATTCTAACTCAATGATCTTTTTTCTCTATAGCATTTATAGGTCACAGGTACGACCTGGTATAAGTTTGCTGATGAATACATCTAAGGAGTCTTAGAACACGACAAAATAGTTATTCTGTGTCCTATGGTTCCTATTGATTCTTTCTACAAAATTGATCTTAACTATGTGTTAGTGAAGTTAAGAAAGCAAATTATACTTATTAACTTCTTAGAAATGTTAGTGCTTGAATTTAAAGGGAATATAATATTTGAAAAATGAAAGATTTCACTCGCCAATAAATTATTATGTTATAAGTTTTATACAACGTCAGTAATTCGAACAATTATTATTGACAAATAAGTATCTGGAGCTGTTCGTTAAAATTAAGAAGGAAGCTATGTGCTACACTCTTGAGAATATAATCCTCAATAGCTGATATAATGAGAGAACCTACAGAAATCACAGGACGTAAGATGTAAGCAAATGTAAGTTATACTGAGTGAGTCACTTATTCATACTATTAAAATCACCGTCTATATATCTATCTCTACGTTTATCTTGTCACTTATAAGTACTCAATTATTCAATTTTTTCAATATAGCATTCTATGCTGTCCCATTTTCTCTCGGTTTGATTAAGTTAGTCAAGTGATAATAATCCGCATAGTAACTAAATTGAACCACAAATAAAAATATTTAGAACAAATTCAGACCATTAACAATATCTTTATTTATCTCAGCCGAGAGTGTATGAATAAAAGACACACTATATTACAGTAACTCCGAAAGATTTTGTTTAAATCCAAAAAGAGATGTTCCTCTTTTTGTTCAATTTCAACTTTTATTTACTTATAAAGGAGTTTAACAATAAGGACTTCATAATTACTATAATTTTTTCATTTTATTATAAATATTGATAAACCTACGTGGATTTATATTCATCATGCAACACATCTTGAATTGAATAACCAGTAAAATATCTACCTGTAAATGAAATATTCAATATTCAATTATTCAAATATCATCGGAAAAACATAATTACGATAATCAAGACAATAACAGTATAGTGATAATAAATAACTTTTTTGATTATTTAACAGTTATGATTTCTTAATAGATAAGGTTCATGCTTAATGCTCCATCTTTTATACTTTATTTATTTATTTATTCATTTATTTCAACATATAAATATTGGTACGAAGAGCACCGAATACATGCAGACCATAAAAGTCACTTGATTTGTGTGTGGGATGTGATACTGCTCGGGTGCCCAGACGGAAGCAGGTAGTTTTCTTAAGGGACCATACCCCGAGCCTTTGACCTAAAGGTCTGATCCACAAGTCAGGAAATGAAATGCCATGGTAGCCAGTGACCAACGATTGGTTCATACACCATCTGTTCCCTTAGGATCTTGGAGCTGACATGCACCATTGGTTTAGAATCAATGTTTTTCAACTCCCGTAGGTGAACTCTCGGCGTCAACCAACCCAGTTAAAGCGCCGGAAACTTGCTTTTAGTACCCAATAGAACTAACAATTATATTTTTCTTAATTACTTCTCAGCATGCTTTATAAACCACAAAAAGTATGAAATATGCATGTTTTCATTTCAAAAAAATACATTACACTAGGTCTAATTAATAATATTTCCTCCTTATGACTTGGATTATCATTACGATTGCAAACTTCAAGAACAGTTTGTTTGAGTAAAGTGTAATTTCATGTTTGTTCTTTTTTAGGAGCCAACCGAAAAAAAACGTAAAGTTGTTAAAGTATAGGAATTTGCAAGCTTTCAAACGCCTAGATCCGGGTGCGACCAAACAGTGAAAGAACATCATGTTTGTTGCATTATATATATATAGTAAACTGGACTTTAGTAATCAATTTGTTAAGTTAATCATCAGTAGAGTGACTGGTTGCACATGTTTGACCCAAGATTATCGTGTTTACTAAGATACCCACAAGAAGGTATATATATATATATCAAGCAGTAGCAAATGAACTTACAGGCCAGACATCTTTATACACTATTGATATGTTGTTTTTGGTGTAATTACCGAGAAAATTTGATTTCGATAGTGTTTCAGCTGTGACTCCATATTTACAATGTGTAAAATCATTAAAGCTCCATAAATCAGAAAATGGTAACAAACAAATCTATAATAGAAGAAATTCAAACAAATATATTGAATAATATTTATGAATAATGTTTGCAAATTTTCATTTCTGTTAAAAAGTTGTTTTGAATAATATTAATTATATTGGACATTGAATCCAAGTTGGTACTAACCCTTCTTAAATATTTATCTTCAAGATAAAAATAAGTCTCACTACTTGAAATCATGAGTCAATTGAAGCTAAACCACCATGGAAAACCTGGAAGCACTGGACGGCAATGCGCATCCATGATCCCGTCTCCCTCGAGATTCGAACCCAGGACCTATCACTTAACTGTTAGACCACTGAGCCGGCATCCAACGGCGTTAATGTCTAGCTTAAACTAATTTCATCTAGTGAAATTTCTAAAATCTTCACAAAAACCCCTGTTTAAAATAAATTTATCAGATACAAAGTATCTAGAGGTTAAGCACTCGCGCGTGTGACCAATAGGTCCTGAGTTCGAACACCGAGGGGTAGGGTTGTAGACGAACACTACTGGGGAGTTCCACACTGAAACGAAACGGCCGTCCAATGCTTCCAGGTTTTCCATGGTGGTCTAGCTTCAATTGACTCATGAACTCAACCACAAAAAAACCCCATTCTGATAATAATCTTCAAAATGTAAATCATTTACATGCATATTACTTTATCCATGAAATAACAGCATTAGCAGCCTCCAAACTTTTTCATAACAATGTTATTATACATTTTGTTTACTTGTAACTTACTTTTAGTTGTAGACCAATTTTATGCTTTTCATGTGAACATTTAGTTTTTTTTACCTTTTATTTTCACTTATGGTTTATGCCGGTTTCCTATTACTTTAACATAAATTTCCGTAACAATTTTTATTATTTATCGATTAGTAAAAATGATCAATTCTGAATACCATATTTTTGTGAGTTAAGGACAGGATTGATAAAAAACGATTTTGGAAAGCTATCGCTCAAGTAAATTGTTTTATGGTTTAAACTTTGTAAAAGAATTTCCAAAGCACTTAGTTAATAAAGGAATTATCATCAAGGATTCTTTAAAGATGTTCACTAGCAAGGTGAAAAGTAAGATCTTAATAAACAACAAATGGAACAACGACCAAATCATATTTAATGCCAAAGCTCTGGAAGAGGTAGAAGCTTTTACATACCTAGATAGTCACAATTGATTGATCACTGGGTGGTGATCAATGTCATGCTTGTCTAGTCCTTATTAGTGCAGATCGAATGCTGTCGATCGTGTTGCAATGTGACCACCATCTAAATCTCAATACATAGTGCCCGCAGTGTCGAGTCACCTAGACTGGTGGCCACATTGCAACACGATCGACAGCATTCGATCTGCACTAATAAGGACTAGACAAGCATGACACTGATCACCACCCAGTGATCAATCAATTGTGATGACATCTCAGTCCTACAGGAGGATAGTCACGGCTCGGATAGCTCAGTGGTAACGTCTCTGACTGTGAAGCTGGGTGACACGAGATCGAATCCGCCAGGGAGCACCAGTTCCCTCAAGATTACAGGTACACCTTGCTGACGAGTGCCAAATAGCACGAAACCCGGGTCCAGGGTTTCCTGTTCACTACCTCCAACCACCATCTATACCTAGATAGTACCATTGATAAACAAGGGGGTCTAATGCACATAGAATGGGGACGCAAGAGCACCATTCCTACAATTGAAGACTATTTGGGATTGAAAACAGCTTAACCAAAATCAACGTCAGAATTTTCAATACTAACACTAAGACAGTTCTATTGTGCGGAGCTGACACTTGGAGAACTACAACCACCATAAAAAAGTACAGGTAGTTAAGAACAAATGTCTACACCAGATACTCTGGATCTGTTGACCAGATACCATCAGCAATAGTCTCCTTTGAGAGAAAAAAAACAAGCTTTCGGTTGAGGAAGAAGTTAGGAAAGGACGCTGAAGGTGAATAGATCACAGTTTATGGAAATCATCAAACTGCATCAAAAAGCAAGACCCAACTTGCAATCCTCAACGAAGAGGAAAACGAGACAAACCAAATAAAACCCGGTCTTGAAGATCAGAAGGCGATAAAAAGCCCTCGAAAATATCTGTGAAGGGGTGTATATCTAGGTTTGCCTAGAGATCCGTGATCGATGGTTAATGCCCCACGAGAGGTAACATGCCTAATAGATCAGTTTCCGACTCCTTTTTTCGATATTATCACCGATGAATGTCCATAAAATTTGCTTAGTTGCATCTCCATTCTTTATTATTTTTTTTATTGAAATGGTCGTTAAAAAATGTAATTGAAGTACTGTTTATTTATCGATCGACTGATTGACCAAGTTTATCGACTTAACTATTGAATTGAAACTACGCTTTAATAACTTTTTTAATACTATTTAAATCCACTTATTCCTAAGTTTAAATACAGAAAGAATGATAATTAACGTGAGTCCATCAAAAACGTTAATCGGATCGATTTTCTACAAGAACTTTATCTCGTTAAATCAGAAACTTGATTTAGTCAATTAATATCAAGATCTCGGAAAACACAGATAGTATTTTGAAACAATTTGAAACGTTTGACCTTTAATTTAAAGGATAAGATGGAATATCACAAGCAAACTAACACCCTGTATGATTGATAAATTATACGTTGGATAGAACATATTTCCCTAAATCTGTTTATTATTGAGTAAAACAATTCAACAGAAAAATATGTCATCTTTAATATCATTCGATCAGTTTGTTTTATTACAAAACTCAATTATATCCCACTAATTTAATAAACAACTAAAGATACCCACTTGGTGTTCTTTTACTTGTATCTTCCCATTGTTATTTAGGACTGCAACTGATCCGTCTCTTGCTGGCATATGTGTATCCTGTGCGGATTGCCTCGATATAGCCTTAAGTCATTTAAGTCCTAAGTGGATAACACGATGGCGTTTGGAGCGCACGGTAATAAGTTCGATTCCCGGCGAGAACATCAATTCCGAGGTGCAGCTACATTCAGCTGACGAGTTTCAAACAGGACGAAACGCGCGTCCTGGATTGCACTGCTAGTCACTATCTATCTTTGCTTAACCATATATATCATTAGTTATCACAGATTTTCACTGATTTTCTTTACAGATCTCTGATAAACATCACATGAGAAGGATTACTGGCTGAAAAAGGATTGTAATCTTCAACTATCTTGTCACCTGCTTGAAAACATGACAATTAAAATTTCAAAACTGTACTAATAAAACGAATATGCTCATTATTTAAGTGTTCCTCACTTCAATTTTAGGTACTGAAAATCATTCATATTCAGTGAAATCTCAACTGCATATCGCTCCTTTTAATATGATCTGTAAGCATCAAGAGATTATAATTTTTTTTTCATTTAAAAGTTTAAAAGCCCTAACTACTAGAGTATGTGTTTTATTTCGTAGCTTCAATATTTAATAATATCGAACTAAAAGCTTAACTGAATAAATAGATCATTCTATTTATAGTAATAATAATGTTAGTTACAAACCATATTATAGTTATCTGAACTCACTTTAACAGAAATACAGCTGTCTAAAAACGGCGAAAGTAATTTATCATCTTTTTCATAAACAAGAGGATTATTAAATCGATGATCTATTGAATGAACTTCCGAATGTTTACATGAAAACAACCGTAAAAAATTCGATAAGTTATGTGGAATTATATTAAATTGAAATAAGACATCACCTTGAACAATCTGAAATACAAAGCGTGAAATTAAAATAAAATGAAATAGTTAATCTTAATGTTATCAAGGTTTAAAGAAGAAAACTTACTATAACTATATAATGAAGCGCACAGTTAACTTGTAACAAAAAGCTACGTAAGGCAAACTTAATGTCGGCTCAGTGGTCTAGTGGTTAAGCGTTTGTGCACAAGACCGGAGGTCCTGAGTTCGAATCACGAGTGCTGGATCGTTAATGAGTACTGCTGAGAAGTCTAATACTAGGACGAAACGGTCATCCACTGCTTCCAGGTTTCCAATGGTTGTCTATCTTACAATGACTCATGAATTCAACTATTTTAAAAAAAACTTAAGAGCATTTAACAATTATTGCCTTTTGGCAATTATAAGAGGAATAATAAGTCTACTTAATATTTTATGTATACTCACAATAAAAAATTTTAAAGATGACATATAAAAGCTCTTGTCTTCTAAACATTTAAAATGTATTATTTTCAATAATAGAGAATTGCATAAATTCAGTGTTTCGTCCAGCAATCTTGTCTAAGTTCCTTCATGGTTATAATCAAAATTAAAACTGTCGATGAATATTTTATGTTCAACAGTTAAGTCTACAATAAAAGCTTATCTAATCACATCCAGATGTCAGTTTTATTGAGTAGGAAAATATGAGTCAATAAAATGTGAATAATGTGAAAAGTTTGCAATGTGAATAAGTACATATGTGTATGGGTACTTTTATGCTAGTATTCGTTAAAACTTAGTTATAAAAAAAGAAAAAATTCGACGTCGGTCTACTACCAAGCTTAAAGAGCTTGTGACTTAAGACTATATCGAGACAATCCGCATAGGATGCACATACGTCAACAAGAGACTGATCAATTGCAGTCCTAAATAACAGTGGGAAGATACAAGTAAAACAACACTAAGTGAATTTAACCTTCACCCCATTGCACAAGCAAATGGCTATCAGGACTCAGTAGCTAAATGAATAACGGGATGACGTTTGAAGCGGATGGTAATGGATTCGAGTCCCGGAGTGAACAGCAACTCTGGGATACAGGTACATCCAGCTGATCAGTCCCAATTAGGACGAAACGCGCGTCCTAGATTCCTTTGCGAACCACTATGCATCTTTGTTAATTATTTTGTTCGTTTAAAAAATAAAGAATAATAGTACAAATTGAAAAGTTTTAAAATGTAGAAATGTGTGTGAAATGAGAAATGTTATATACATAGTTGTGATTTTCAAACATTTTAATGAGTTTTTCATATGAATAAAGCTACGTGTAGTGATAAGATTCGAATTATTTTTTTAATAAGCATTTCTTAAGGACTAGGTGGCTGTATTCCCTCTTTTCTGATCAAACAGTTCTGATTAACTCATATGTAGCTCATCTACTTTAAATTTTTCTTTGTACGCACCAGATCCTTTCTGAATTATTTTAGTCCCTCTAGGGTTCATCTTAGATCTTGCTTCTGACAAATATAGTGCTATTCTTGATTTCACCCTACGATTAAAGAAAATCTGTCAAACAATATTCAACCTCACATTCAGCTGTATAGATATTCTTCTCACATAAATCGCAGTGCATTCATGGCATTTAATCTCATTGACAACATCTTGCTCCTCTTCCCTTGATAGTCTATACTTGAATTTAACTAAAGTCTATCTTATGATATCATTAGCCAGGAAATATATATTATTTATTTGGAATCCTATTGATTTTCTCCGATGTTTTTGCACCGAATTCGATGACCAGGGTGTTCTTCAATTCTCTCGGTTTACACTTCAACACAGTACCTTTTTTTATCTTTCACGTTCTTCTTTAAAAAAAACTCTTTAGTATAGATTTTGCCATTAATGTAGACAGAATTAAATTTAATTCAATTTGTTGGTCTTCTTACACTGTAACGAGATTACAGCTTCCATTAATTAAATTTTTCACAGCTGTGACCTTCAAAAAACATCCACGTATCGATCCATAATCTGAATATTCCCTGCATTTTTATTTCAGAAGTACACCAATTATCATCTTATTGTTATGTATCCTTTCAATTCAACAATCGTAAAAAGCTAGTTTGTGGTCAACAGATTCTATTTTCTTGGTTAGTTTAATGCAATGCAATAAGTTGTGTACACACTTAAATATTTATCGCAAATCATCTCTCTTGATAATGACAAAAGTTTTAATTACATACCGTAACTAAACTTTATGCGGAATTGCATACAACATGTTCACACAAATTTCGAAGGAATGCATGAATAAATTTATTACAATAAGAGAAACTGATTAAGTCATTGTTACACCTTTTTTGTACAAACAGATGGCGAAATAAGATGGATCGTAAATACAATTCCAAACACTTAATAACCTCGGAATGATCGAATGAGTATCGTTTAATTCAAATGTATCAGATTGTCGAAAAAGCATAGATAACAGTATTTGTTTCAAGTTAGAATGCAAGTTGTTTTTACAGAAGTATGTGAGTACTTGCAACCGAATTTTGGTGTTTTGGTTTTTTAGTTAGTTCATAGTATTGCACTAGCTAGTTGTATTCCACCAACTTTTGTATTTTGAAGCCACTAACTAATAGCAAACTAGTACAAGTAAACTACATTCTACATATGTTTAGTTTTTAAGTTATATTCATACAAATCAAACTCCAGTGTCTGATCAGGAGAAACCATAAATAATGAAGAAGAAGAAAAAGCTAAGATCAGGTCTCTCACTATACATAACTTAACTGACAAATTTCAGTTAAGATTTTAAAAGTGAACTGTCTCTGTCCTGTAGACCATTTATATAAGTAATCTAGTTCTATGTTAACTCATCAGCAAAAACTATCTTTAAAACATGAGGAAAATAATATTGTTTCAGAGAATTGAACAAATATTATTCAGACTCTTTGCTAAAAACTATTGTTGCAAGTCAATCAGTAACTAAAAGTGAATTAACAACTGAAGACATTTCAAGTGGCACTATGTTAAGGTTTCCTGATAAGCCATACAAAAGTGTGAACGTACTTCATTGAATAACTAAATTTCTGCTGAATCTGTTTTTACATATACATATACATACACATACATATATTTCGACAGGTCAAACGTTATAAGTGACCGTTTATGAATAAATCAGATAAAAGAACACATCTCAATATGATACTAGTTATACTTTTATATAATTTAAGATATAATATTTTTCAAGATGATGATCAAGCCATTCTAGTCTCATGATAGTGATATTATTTGAGCGATTTCAACAATAAATATCTACTTATTATAGCATGAAGATAGCACTTTGTATATTTAATATATATGTTTTTTTTATCCGTCATTTTGAGTGATACTACACTGTTCATGACAGATAAACTTGGATAACTTCAGATGCTTGAGGAGAAATCTACTGTGAAAGTTACATTCATATGTAACTCTTACTCTTTGAGTTAACAGAAATGTCCAAAAACGATAACACCACACGGTTACTGAACATTGAAAAACTGATGTATAAACTCATGACAACATTTTATTTTATACTAACACTTTATTCATGAAATATAATTACCGTTTTTTAAGTTTATTTTATTGTGGTAATTCAGTTATATTATTCTGTTTGTAAGCGTAGAATAGTCAAAACTCATTCATAAACTCTATTTTAGATATCTAGTATTTTCCTTTCAATCAATGAGTCCCTTTAATGATTTTAAATAGTTCTGAAGATATTGAAATGTATTGTCAACAGCATTCATAGATGACCATAATAAACTTTGTTGATATGCTTAATACTGCACTATATTTAATTCTATAGATAGCCTTATCAACTATGTGATAATAACCAAGAAATCCAGTACTAAATAACAGATGTTCATAGCATAGAAACATTTATTGCTTTGAATACATTAAGTATGAAATTACACTTTAAGATTTATCTAAAGTTAATTTGAATAAGAAACTCTTAGATACGCATAATTGAACTATAATCATTTAGCTAAAATATATATACTCCTTCATTAAATAAATTTTATAATCAATACTATCTTATAATGTACAGTCCAGATACACTTGCTAAATCTGCATGATGTATTTGAGTGAAGCTTAGAAACAAAAAGAGAATGTAAGTGTAATGATAATGAGTAGTATTATTCAATAAGTAGCTTTTTACATCATTTATATGCATCATATTATGACTCATTGTTATGTAAATAACTATTATACATTCAAACTCAATATAATTGACAAATCGTTTGTAGACAGATGAATCTTCATTCACTAAAATGAATATACATATTGTTTTCACTTATTTTAAAATTAAATTACCAATACTTTACTGGGTAATAGCTTAGATAAAAGCAGTGTGTTAGTACTTGTCGGCGATATTTCTCTAAGCTCATATGATATAAAGGAGAACGAAGAAAACTGTATCATCATTAATACAAACACAAGAATCAAAGTTAGACTAAATGTACACGATTTAAGCAGAGTGATTTTCAAACCAATTATGATAATATAAGTTAGAGTTATGATGTCTAATCAATGACTGAATTTGCTTGGTAAAAATAAGATGTATACATACAGATGTATATATACAGATGTATACAGCCTTCCTGGTTATCAGAAAAAATGTAAGTTACAAAGGATAAAAGTTAAAGTAGGCTATAGTGAAAAGTTTAAATCCACACTTTTCTTTAGTACAAATATCGAGATATGAATTAAACAAGAGTTATAAGTTATCTAACCTTAAATTTTAATGAAGTTTTATTCATCAAACTTGCGACGTGATTACTAAGCTCGATAAATCGTTAGCTTCCAACTGTCAAACATGCATAAATATACATATGCGTTCTCACTTATTTTTGAAGTATACTTGCCAACTATCCAAATTTAAGTTTTGTCAAAGTTCATTCGTATTTTTTCAGAAATGAATAAGATTATCATTAAAGTTTTGAAATTTCTGAAATGTATTTTAAGCATAGGCGTCTGCAGATCAGAATACTATAGTCTAAACTTAATAGTGCTCATCCACGATCCCGCACGCGGGATTCGAACCCAGAGCCTCCGGTTTCGCGCGCGAGCGCACAACCTCTAGACCACTGAGCCAGCATCTGACAAAACCCACAGCTTAACCCGGTCCAGCCCGGGTATATATATATATAAATATATATATATATATATATATATATATATAGTATGCTATTTTGTTAAATTTAGTCAAGTGGGATAATACCTCACACTCCTTTATATAAACAACATTATACCAGTGAATAAATGAAAGACTGAGAATTCCTTCTATTATGTTAATTATCTTGTTGATTGAAGACAAAGCTAAGAGAAAATCAAAGCTATTAAAAACAAAAAGAAAATTGTAAAACAAGCATCTCCAAAGAAGAAATTGAAAGTGATGTGCAAATATACTTAGATTAGAACCTGTTGTATGTCATTTAACACTTAATCTCTAACTGTTAATCAACTGCATTCCTGTACATATGCAGTGGTTTGTGTAATTTAAAAAGTAATGATTGTAATCTATAAAATACTATAACATTAGTAAACTGTGAATAAACTTTTGTATTAGCTGAATTCCACCTCAGAGAGTAGTTTACTTTGACTTTTAATACCAAGAACTTTATGTATATGTCATCATCTTTATTAATCTTCTTTTGCAAACGAACCTACGCATTTTAGTATACAGATGCATAGATCAAATCATTGTAAATTATGGTGAACCTTTATTATGTATTCTTCTAACTATAGAATTAATTAATTAAATATAATTAAACAATAAAACTATCCCACTTTTAACATTTGTGTTTTATATGTTACTACTATGGGAAATATTATTTAAAAGCAGCTGGTATATTGAATGCTGTAATGTTAATTTGAAACTTGAGTGAAAACTAAAAAGATGTTTAACTATTTTATTTTTATAAACAAGAAATAGGTTCATTCAGTCATTATAACAGACATTTTACGTAGGTTGTCTATTCTGAAATGAGCGTGTTTTTTTCTTCATAAACGGATTTGATAAAAACATTATGTTTATTTCATAAACTTGTATAAGCTTGTAGTGTTTTAGGTCTACAGAAGTTTATATATATGTAATAGTCTTATGTCAATGACGAAGATGATAATGTAACATCACGTTCAACATCAAACGCTTGCTGCCGATTACAATACAATCCCGGATCACGTTAGCATTTACCCGTCAGATTTAAAATAATAATATATCCATCTGTATAATATTTGATTTATTCTCTTCCAGTATTCAATATGGCCAACAAGATTTTTGTGTGGAGCAAAGCTTGACACTTGTATAGCAAGTGAAATTACGTTTTGCGAAACCTAATATCAGATAACTTATAAGTAATTCATATTTCACTTATATATTAGCTCACTGAATAATTATGACTTGAACGATAAAACACATTTAATCCATCAAGAAAATTGAATAAAAATTCTTTAATTCTATTCTATAAAACGTAATAAATTTCTCATATCACTAGCATCTTCAATGTAAAAGACTCATTGAAACTTTAATAAACAACTTAATAATAAAATTGAGGGTTTATTTTATTTGTTTCAGTGTGGTTATCCGGTAAGCGTTTTTTTTAGCGAGTTAGTTTTCTACAGGATGGGGACGCTAACCTCATGCCCAACTTTCCTCCTTTACCCGGGCTTGGGACCGAGCTACAGGCGGAATCTTCAATACCAACGTCAAGGCAGTTCTACTGTATGGAGCTGAAACTTGGAGAACTACAACAACCACAATCAAGAAAGTACAAGTATTTATAAATAGCTGTCTACGCAGGATACTCAACATCTATTGGCCGGATACCATCAGCAATAGCATTCTGTGGGAGAGAACAAACCAACTTCCAGCTGAAGAAAAAATTAGAAAAAGACGATAGGATAGGACATACATTACGCAAATCGTCAAACTGCATCACGAGGCAAGCCCCAACTTGGAATCCTGAAGGGAAGCGAAAAAGGGGAAGGCCAAAGAACACACTGCGTCGGATAATAGAAGCAGATATGAAAACGATGAATAACAACTGGAAGGTGCTGGAAAGGATTGCCCAGGACAGGGTTGGATGGAGAGTGCTTTAGAGCGGCCTATGCTCCTTCACGAGGAGTAACAGGCGTAAGTAAGTAAGTAAGTGTGGTTATCCAACTAGACTTTTATTTTGATAAACAGTTATATATGGTCTCTCTATATGCTCATTAACTACATTATTTAATACAACTGAGAGAATAGATTTTAAGTTAATAATTTTTCCCAGAATACAATGAAATTTTTAGTGTAACCATAAGGAATGAAAGTCTGTTCTGAAATCTTAGCATTGTATTTATAATAAAATTATCTTTGCTTTTGATAAACATGCAACTATTGTTTTCTTAACTTCATAGAACTATTATCTAATCTTGCTTTACAACAGATAGATATATTTTCAATTTGACGTTGTGGAGATGGTTAGATTTAATTGAAATCATGAATTGATCCATGTTAAACCTGAAAGTACTAGATGGTTGTTTCGTCTTAGTCTAACATGAATCAGTTCATGATTTCAATGAGATAAATATATTTTATATAGAACAATTAGTGATTTAATGATCAGTTGTACGCAACTATGCAAACAAAAATCACTCATCTTTTACAACAATAAACTGATATATATATAATCATATTGAGATCAATCATATTGTTTAACAATAAAATAAAGAAATCATTCTCTTAAATTGTAAATTCACATAATAGTTCCAGACTTAAACCTAATACTTATCCTGGTTGTCTAAATCTTTCGATTGATGTTTAGGACTGAAAATGATCAGCCACTTAAACCTAACCCTTTATATTATAATGCATAATAATATTTTCAGAAGATGTTTACGTGAAAACTATTACTAAAGTTTTGTCTATGTAATCCAATTGAATTTAGAATTGCTATACCTTCAAAATAATTTAAATATGGATAATTTAGTGCAGGTTTGCAACAAATAATATTTTCATCCAAGTTTCAAAGCATTCATTAGCGTTTTATAGGACTGAATTAAGTATATTCATGTGATATACAATAGAAAAACGTTATGTATTCTACTTTTTGATATCAGTTAAATAAACGAACTGATGATTACAACTTAATAAACGGAATACACCCATTATGACATTAAATAAGAAAGAAAGATTAGTTCAGCGAAGAGTTCTCTTTTTGGCGAATTTATTTTCAAAGCTGTACAATCGTAAATATATATGCTTATTTTTACAGGGTGTAAAAATAAGTATATATATTTGCGATTATACAGCATTGAAAATGAATTCACCAAAAAGAGAACTCTTCTCTGAACTAATCTTTCTGATTACAACTTAGACACTAACCTAACTAAATAAACATACTTGTAAAATGCAGTCAACATTTGCTCATTTGTTCTAGTCGATAAAAGTGAAACTTCAAGCTTCTAGATAGTCATTAATAAGACTTTTCTCAATCTTAAGTAAAAACACAAAATATAATACAATAATTAACAATATAATCGGTCTAATCAGTAAGTTGAATAATCATGTATTTTCGTCTCCATAACTTATAAAACCCGATGTTATTGATATTCACTCGGTGAATGACTGTAACTGTTAAAGTTTATATCTTTTTTAATTCATTCTATCCTAAGTTTCATGATAAGTAACATTTATAATTCATTAAACTCCTTCACATTCAATTTCAATGTTCTTTGTATACTTTGATTATTATTAGGAAAGGCTTAATTCAGAATAATTCAATTTGTACAAATCACAATTTATTTGAATTCTCGATTCTCCTGAACAAGTTCAAATCTGATAACCGGAAAAAAACAAAATTTGTTTGAAGCAATTAGTCCCTCTTACTCTCCATTTTTAGTCTAGTTGACCTTTTATATTATTACATATAAATGTTCTTAACAAGTTTATTATGTGTGATCAGATTGTTCAAAATGTATTACGCTAATATATCACATAGTTCTGATAGTTTTCTTATTCCACTATAACAATTTATCATGGGGACTAATTGCTTTAAAAGTATAATGTCCAATGATTTCACTCTATAAAAAATTCAAGAAAACGATTGCGTCACACATACATAGGGAGGGGTAATCGTGATCTCAAAATTAGGGTATGTGAACATGTACCAAAATTGCCCAAGAAACAAATAGAATCAAATGTCTCAATAAGAGCAGAGGATAAACATTCATCATCCTCTGTTGCCAAACTCATAATTCAAACAGGTTATAAGATTGATCTTAACTTGACTTTGTTAGTGTTGTGCAAAAGTGCAAAAGGACATATACTATGATTTATTCAATTCTTAGTCATACGAAAATTTAAACCCCTTCTGTGTGTTCAGAAACAGTTTGTCCTCATCTTAAACCCACCCTGGTTTCAAATTGTTTTCATATTATTTCTTTATTATTCTTGTCTCCTCTTTTCCCATTCATTTTTAGTCTAGTTGACCTTTTATATTTTTATATATAAACGTGCTGTGATCAGATTGTTTCAAATATATCGCTTTAATATATCACATCGTTCTAATAATCTTCATCTTCTTATTACATTATGAAAAGATTTGTTTGATTTCATATACCATTTAACTTTACAATTATAAACTATATTTAACAATAAATCCCGCGAGGTTCGGGATCGTGGATGCGCACTACCAAGGAGTCCCATACTAGGACGAAACGGCCGTCCAGTGCTTCCAGGTTTTCCATAATGATCTAGCTTCAATTGACTCATAATTTCAACTAGTGAACTTTCTAAAAAATCTCCACAAAACCCATTCTGATAAAATGTTTATATTCTTTCAGAAATCTAAATCCAAGTTAAACAATGAAGAAAACAACCTATGAAACTTTTCAACAACAAAAAAAGAATGTACTCACTTTAAAATTTTGTCCTTGAAATAAACATAAAATGATGAATAATATTGAAGATTTCAATAATTCGTTATAAAATCCATAATATTTATCTCCTTTATTCATTGTAAAGAATAATTTTTGTTGTTACCGTCGTTGGTGTTGCTGTTGTTGTTGTTAATAAATCAAAGTAACTAATAATTTTCACAAAAGAAAACTTGTTATTTAAACGTTTTATATGGATTGTGTATGTGTGTGTGTGTGTGTTTTCTTTTCTTCTTAACCAACCTATTCATAATAACCCATTATGATCAAATGTTTAACAAGATCAAGTATTTATTATTTATTCAATATCTATAGAATTCTGTTATAAAATGAAATCTGTAACCAAATGTTATAACAAAGTGAAATTTTTTTTTAAAAAAAAAGGGGGGTCTTAACTGATTAAATTGTAATATCTAGAGGAAAGAAATCATAATGTGATAAAATATAGAAAATGATTGGCAAGTAGAAATGTAAACACTTTTTTTTTGATTTAGTGCACAAATATGTGTACACAATTAAAACCCTATAATTTATTACATAATCAACTAATAGTGAAATATGTTCTCTTATATAATTATTTTTAATATATACACAAATACATATTTGTTAACTAGTCAGTGAATACCTAATATTTAGTTAACCAATTCGAGTATATACACCATTTATAGAGTCTGTGTTCATGCCTGTATATATATATGCGCATCATTTTTATACGAATTCATAATTAAGCCAGATGGAAATTATAAATAAATAAAACAATCTATGAATTGTAATTCTTAATGTAGTGATGTAATACTCAACTTATTTCTTATAAAGTTTAATGTCTATAGTGATTACTTACTGAAAGTATATCATAAATTAACAAATGGCGAGAAATAAATAAATAGAAAATATGAAGTAATGCAAAACATAAATGAACATTTCTTTTTAATTATGATTGACAGTAATTAATGTATTAATGTATGGGTAGAAGAAAAAAAAGGGGTCAGTCAGGTCATCTTACTTTTCTTTTTTTTCAATTTCATTTCATCATTATTTGTTTATACATTTTAATATTGTTCTATGTTTGAATTATGTTACATAAATAGATACCTGGAATAGTAAATGTTTGTTTGCCTCTTTTTTTCTTCTTCTTCTTCTTCTAAATTAATAATCCAGTCACTCAAATTTTAATAACTTAACTCATTTCAAATGTAAACATTTTTATTTACTTATGAATGTTCTACTACTAGGCATCATCAAGACAATATACACAGTATGCATATATGCCAATAAACAGACTGATCAATTGCAGTTCTAGACATCAATAAGAAGATTCAAGTAAATCATACAAAGTAAATTCATCAATGTTTGTTTTATTTTTGATCAAAATTGTTATTATTTTTCAAATTCCTCTTTTTTCTTCTGTTTTATCTTTAAATTAGAAAAAGTAAAGATCTGCTGATGAAACTTTTCTCAATTCTAAACGAAATCATATTTAAGTTCTGTTTAATAATATATTTTTTTCTTTTTGAGGGAAATAAACATTAGAATAAATAAAGGAATAAATAATAGTGCGGTGCGCACTACTTATATCGTTGTAAGTAGTATATAAACAAGTTAAAAACGCAATGTTTGGCAGCAGAAGATGAGGGGAGATCAAAAAAGGAAGAGCGACAACACAATGAAATTTGTAAGAAAACGCATGAACAATAAAATGTGAGACAATGGATTGATGTTTGCAACAGGAACATTCCAGGTTGATATGACGCATTGATACTTTGCAAATTAACGATTTACTATATCGTTTTTCTATTTTACCAAGTAATTTTGTATTAAGTACAGTAAGGTTTTCCTCACCTGTGTTCTCCTTCACTACGATAGTACATCTAATATTTATTATTCAAACATAAATTAAAATCATATATGCCAATAACAGACTGATCACTTGCAGTCTTAAACCTCAATGGGAAGATACAAGCCAAAAAATACCAAGTGAATTCAAAGTAAACGATCTTTACAAACAATTTAAAAACATTTTAGTAATATTGCATTCACTGGCCTGGATAGTTTAATTTTTCTGCTACTATTGTTGTATACATTTAGAATAATAGATTCATCATTAAGCTATTCAGTTTAAAAAAATGAAATCCCAACAATAGTATTCAGCAAAGAACTATAACTTTTCTCCGTAATTTCAATATATATATTACAAGATGACAGTTAAAATTGTAGTTAATAAAGACTCATTATTTCTGAATCTATATAAGTTTGACCGGGTTATAATAAATGACTCCAACACATGAAACTATCATATATAGTTGAGTACATGATAACTGAGATAAATATATCCATACAGTGAATGAAACTATTCATGATTTTCAGATGAAAATAAGGTAATGTCCATACAGAATTGATTAGTGGCTAGGAGTGGAATCAAAAACACATATGTCCTCCTATTTTTAGACTCAGCACATGAAAGTACATGAATTCTAGTGTTACCGTTCATTTCAAGACTTGAACCAACAACTTTCACTTTAAACACCAACTCGTTATTCACTTAGCTACTTATTTCATATAACCACTCGCTTATGGAAAGGAGATGAATTATATGACTTCCAATCTTTTCTTGAGGTAATGATTGCAAATGATCTTTCATTGAGTTCAATTTCCGATATAAATCTCAACACTGAGGTTCTAGACAATAACCAGCCCTCCCTAAAAAAGGCTGTGACCGATGTTAATATCGAGGCAGTTCTATTGGGATTCACTAATACCCAAAGAGAATGATCAATCACAGTCCTCGAAAACAATATAAGAGAGATTTGAATTGGTTGAATCAAAAAATGCTGTTAATATCCAATACCCCTTAGATTATCAATATGGGTTGTGGAGATTATTGAGATCATGAACCGACTAATGTTAGACCACTACTAAAAACCGGGGAGGACTAGAAGGCCACTTCGTCCTAGTATGGGACTCATTAAAAGTACGCACAATAGTGGATTGGTTGAAGTTAGACATTAACACGGATGGAAGTCGGTCCAGTGGTCAAGAGGTCAGATATTCGCGTAAGGCCGAAGGTCCTGGATTCGAGTCCCATCAGTGATGCGAACTGCTAAGTAATACCCTATAAGGACGAGACGACAGTTCACTACATCCCGGTTAATGCCATATGTATTTGTCATCATATCAATTTAAATATGGAAACTGAACAGAAACGATCAGTGAAGAAGAACAAATAATTATCCTTCTTTGTCAGGATATAGAGCTGATAACTGGTCAGACATCGTATGCTTAGCAGCAATGAAGTATCCAGCCGAAAAGTTAAATGACAGTACCATATAAAAGAAGATAACTATTAATCAACACACACAATACTTGTTTCCCAAGTATTAATTTCATCTCTTGTAAAATAAAGGAAAATAAGTGTCGATAAGAACGAAACCACTATTCATATCATGTTTATTATATTGAAATAAGAATTATCGCCTACATTCAATCTTCTATAGTTCCAGGGGAAAAAAATTGTTTCTTAATTTAAAATTAAGTCCAAAATTAAGTTCATTGCAGAGAAGTTCAAAAATATTTCCAAAATTTAAGTAATACATTTAAAATTTACATGGTACATGTATTATTAATGTAAATTATATTGATATCAGATGCGTTTTGTGAATATTATAGTAATTTCAACAGTTGAGATCATAAGTCATTTGAAGCTAGACCACCATGGAAAACCTGGAAGCACTGAACAATTGACTCATGATCTTAACCATTGAAATTACTATATTATCCACAAAACCCATCTGATATTAATCAATATATACTCACTAGTGACTGGCTTCAAGAGGTATTTTCTGGAGTTCTTGTGAGAAGTAGTGACCAGTAGAGTTCAACCAGGTCTGTTGTGAGATAGTAATTCACTGAAGACAATGGCGGATGCGTAGCTAAATTTCATGGATTAGTTAAAGTTAGACATTAAAACCGTTGAATGGCGGCTTAGTGGTCTAGTGCTCGCGTACGAAACCACTAGGTCCTTGGTTCGAATCTCTCAGAGGGCGAGGTCGTAGATGCGCATTGCTGATGAGTCCCACAATAGGACGAAACGGCCTTCCAGTGCTTCCAGGTTTTCCATGGTGGTCTAGCCTTAACTGACTCATGATTTTAACCATTATAAATTATATTATTTTACTTCATATGTATAATGATATACAAATATCTATAATAGAATACAAAAATTGTAATCCTAATTAAAAGCCTTCTATGCATGGTTTCAAATATCATCAATGTTCATTATAAATATACTTACTGTTTATTATTTCAATTACCTACCCAATTTAAATTTTATTCACTTTTTTTGTAAAAAAAAAAACATTTCACTTAAACAGATACCGAATTTTGTAAATAAGAAAAACTCAATCTTTAGTCTCATATTACATGAGAAATTCAGTCAACAAAATTCTTACTAAGTGAATAAAAATGAAGATTGATGAAGGATAATATGAATTTTATTTTATTTCATTAGGTTCTTATTAGCTATTTATAACCTAAAGTGTTTGAAAAATCAACGTTATTAACATGATGTAACGGGTACCCACTGAAATGTATTGAGAAATATGAAAAATATAAAGATAAAAAAGTTCAAAGAAACCACAGCAAATAAAAAAAATCTATTTTTATTCAAAGATGATGATGTCACAGGGTCAATCAATATGAGACTAAAAACTGCATTGGCATGAACTTATCCTGCGGCTACACTGATTGTCCTATCTCAAACAACATGTTCTTTAACACAATTAAAGGTTGACAGGTATCCTTTTCATGTTGCCATCAACTGTGTATATAAATTTACATGCATCTGTCAAAGCAGTTACATTGGTAGAAATAACTATGTCAATATCTATAATAACGTTGTAAGCAGCTGATGAGAACTTAACAAAATAAAATGAATTCATACATTATTCTGCACCGATATTCGTTCTTCCTCACTTTAAAATTTTTTTCACAGTGATTGGTCACTGAGTAGTAATCAACCTCATATTTGTCTGGTCTTTTAGTATTAACAGATTTCTACAGACCAAGTACTAGTTTGACCATTAATC